CCCCCCCCCCCCCCCCCCCCATAGTCTTGCTTCTTGGCTCCTGACAGTGAACATCAACCTTTCGAGCCGTGGTCTTGCCTGTGAAGCTTCAGACCCTGTTTCACTGTTTAGGGTTTAGGGTTTAGGTTTTAGAGTTTAGGGTTTAGGGTTTAGGGTGAGGAATTTAGGGTTTAGGTTTAGGGTTTAAGGGTTTAGGGTTTAGTGTTTACATGTCATGCAGCTGTCTTGTAACCCTAAACCCTTAACCGTACACCCTCAGCCCTCAGCGCAAAGCGTGCTCTTGTTGTTTTTTTCGCCCCACTACCAAGGCAAGAAGCTATCGCCAGCGCGATGGCAGCACTGCATGAGTCTCAGGGGGTACCGTGTTTTCCAGAGACTAGCAGAGACGACACGAGCTGCCGGCATCTGGCGCAATTCGGCCTTAACTTTCAGAATAATTCTGCGGCTACCTACATGGTTCTACTGGTTTCCTGGATCCGTATAGGAGCCTCTTGGCGAGCTCTAAACTAGCGCACCCGCGCCTGATCCTCATCACTGAAGCTGTGCAACGAGGGTCTCTGCTGGCAGAGGTCGAACTTTGACCAGATTTCAGTGGTCTGGTCCAACTTCTACAGCAAGGTGGGCTCCTGAAAACCAGGGTCTGGACTTCGATTGTTATTTAAGTTTCGCACAGCAGAATCTGCCGCAGTGCCGCCTCCGGGCATCCGATGCGGCCTGCTCCCGTTTCTGGGAGCCGTTGTCTGTGGGCCAGAAAACGCTTCTTTGTCGTTCCCGCGTCCACAGAAGAGAAGTGTTCACCGAACGGGAGTGGTATTCTGGAAAAGGGTCAATTGACAGTTGTTCGTGTTTCTCCGTACTACAGATTATACCAGGAGCACTGGGAGGATATGGAGGAGCACTAGGGACAGTAGCAGTAGTAGTAGCAGTAGCAGTAGTAGTAGTAGTAGTAGTAGTAGTAGTACTACTACTACTAGTAGTAGTAGTAGTAGTAGTAGTAGTAGTAGTGGTGGTAGTACTGGTAGTGGTAGTGGTAGTGGTAGTAGTCGTAGTGGTAGTAGTAGTTGTTGTTGTTGTCGTAGTAGTAGTAGAAGAAGAAGTCGTCGCCATCGTCGGCGTCGTCGTTGTCCAGCGACAGCGACTGCGCCACTTAAGAAACAGTTATTTTCAGGTGAGGGTGCCCTCGATCTTTTAGTTTGGAAGCAGGTGTTTTTCATCATGAAAAACATTTATCCGGGCTTGGGGGCACCTCGGATTTGTCAGCCCAAGTTTCTTGAACTGAAAGGGCTCCAAGATCAGCCCCTCAGGATTCAAAAGGTACGATGCATGAAGAAGCAATGGGGGGAATTGAGTCTATGGCCTTGGCGCATCTGGCATGGCCCGCTCAGAGTTCTCACATGGCCCTGCTCCACTACTGATAAATTCTGATAGAGCCCATAATAGAGCCCGTATTCAGCTCCCAGGCGCCTACAGAGCCCTTTCGAAGCCGTAATTAAGGGCTAGTGAGCCCTAATTATTAGAGACGCCCAGAATCCCCCAAATCAGATATCGAGCCCGTCATTTCGCTAAACTTCAGACATCGAACCCTCAATTTCTTTTGTTGGTGGTTTTGATTCAACACATCCCTTGGCGACCACTGAAACAAAATCAGTTTCAGATAAGCTGACCGAAACTACCTTCCCGTTACCCCTCTCCTTTGCCCGCAAGGTTAGAGCTGTGCGTCGCTACCTCTCCCATGTGGGCGTATAACAAGGTGCCCCTTTCTCCCGAATCAAAGAAAGCCCTCCTCAAAAAATCCTTCAGCCTCTATCCAGAAACCCAGAAAAATCTGGCCGTTGGCGTTGAAAGGGCGCTGCAGCATCCTCCGGTCTCGCCCCACGACGCGGAAGGACCCCAGACATGGGCAATGAATCTGAAGGATCCAACACATCCTTCAGGTTCCGTGACAATGACCCTCAAGGACCTGGGCTTGAAGGATCTCCAAAAATCCTTCGAAGGAGCCACCCAATGGGCTTGAAGGATTTCCGCAAATCCTTCAGCCCCAATCGACGGGCCTTCAGCCCCAGCCAGGACCCCTGAAGAAGCCACCCGATGGGCCTGAAGGATTTCCAAAATCCTTCAGCCCCGATCGATGGGCCTTGAAGGATCCTTCAGCCACACCCAGGGACCCTGAAGAAGCCACAGCCCCAACCGATCGATGGGCCTTGAAGGATCCATCAGCCCCAATCAAGGACACTTAAGGACTGGGCATGTAGGATTTCAAAAAACTCATTCTTCAGGGCCAATTTGGAGCCGATGGGGGCTGAAGGTCCCACCCCCCATCCCGATATCATTCTCTTGATGTTTTCCGATTTCCTGGGCCCTGTTCACGCCCTATTCATGTCTTTCCAGTTTCACCCGCCGTGACCCCCCGCCAAGGGGTACTGCAGACTGACAGGCGAGCTCTTTAGATGCATCCGGAAGTATCTATGCATGCATTTTGCGCACGTGGACGGATGGATGCATACATGCATGGATGCCTACATGCATGCCGAGTCGCTTCGCGCATCCCTGCCGCAGCCCCACTGAAGCAGTGCCTCCCGCACAGCCACAAACGACTCACGACGACATGGTACTTACCACTGATGCTTACCTCCGAGCATGCCTCCTCCTAGGAACTAGGAACAGCTCAGCAATCAATTCCGTCCGCCTGCCTTCGGTCCTGTTGAAGTGCTTTCAGCTGACACTGCTTCCAACGGACGGTAAGGAGCCTCAAGGCATGCACGGCACTGTACGTGCTGCCTTCGGCTGCTTTGGGGGATGTCGTCGCGACGTGAAGTCTTAGGCTTTGTCACAAAGATGCTGCAGACCGCGCAGCACTAAAGCGAAGTTGGATGCCCAGCACTTCGGGCAAACTTGAAGGAAGGCACAATCTCCGGCCTCCAGCATTATTCCCGAGATGCGCACACCTACCGCGTCATCCTTCACCTGGGCGATGCATGCAGAGTCATCACAACCGGATGATGATGCTCATGAGAGACAAGCAGATTTCGCCATGCTACGACGATGCAAGGTGAATCCGTCGGAGCCACAAGGGTGGCAAAGCCCAGAGCCAGCAGCACCTTTCAAGGGGATCAGCGCACATCCGCACAGACGGCTGTGGCACAAAAGCGGTCAAAGATGTTGTAGACTGTTGCAAACTGCCTGGCCACTCCTTTGTACATGTATCGTCTCGTCGAGCTTGTAGATGCCTGGAGCAAAGACCTTTTCGAAGGTACTGCTGCCATTCTCGATTGATGCAAGTTGAAACTAGAAGCTTTACGTCTCATGGAAACTGGGACTATGGGTCATCTTGCTTTCTCGTGCTGTCAGGCAGCAACATCCTTCCCCTCCGCCAATTTCTTATTGATTTCGGCAGCACCGTTCCTCGCAAGCAGAAATCTTGCCAAAACCGGCGGTATACACTGAGGATGGAATACAACGACATGAACACGATGCGACCTGTCTTGTCCACTGTGTAAAGACGAGACGAGAAGGCAATAGTGTTACTCCACAGCAACGGCGTACGAGTACCTGCAGCAGCAAGCTTCGACGGCTGGGCCACGTAGACTGCGCTGAAGTCTCGGATTTCCTCCTCTGCAAGGCAGACCATCCGCTAGCGGCACACCCTCAACATGTCGGATTACCAGCTCTTGCACGGTTTCTTACCCTTTAGCCTGATGCAGGCCCAAAGGTGTGGCGGTGCTTCCACGATAAGGATGTTGCGTTGGCCGGGCCTCCACAACCTCGAAGTTTGTGCCGCTCCGACCAGTCATGGCAGAGGGAACCACCATTTTGTAGCGACCGTCGGTCCTGGTGAAGTGCTCGCCGATTCGATGCTATGGACGGCATCCAAGCACAAGGACGTGCAAAAGCTGCACTCTGAGCTGGACTTCCATCGAGACTCTCCCTGATGATGAAGGGCTTCTCTGCAATCACCTCAATGCGACGCCCATGATGTCTAAACTGCTGACATTCACTACATCGTTGTGCACACTGTGCACGGACAACTCACATGACTTTAACGCTCTGAACCTTCAAATGCCCGTCTCAGAGGAATAAGTATACGAACAACTTTCCAGTCACATCTCGCAAGTGTAGCAAAGCCAGTAGTTGGTCATGACATTCAGACACAAGAACACTGCGCCTGCGAGGTGGCAACACTGGTGTAGATGGGGCATTTCGATGCGGCCTGGATCGCATGTACTGACTGAGCTTGTAGGGCTGCCCAACGACAAAGAGGAAACTGCGCACCTCCACTTGCTCGCGATGGGGAGCACCAGAGCACCCAACGAAGACACAGCTCCAAGCCCCTGCAACGGCATCAGGGGAAGCAAACACGGCCATCCTTGTCCTTTGAGGACACGCCTCCATCCCAGGATTTGGCAGAGCAGTTTCGCGCAAAGAACTGCTGCTGGGAGCCGAAGCTCACCGTCCCCCTAACCTCCACGTTGGCCATGAAACCGCCGCCTTTCATTGTAGCTGGACTGTCCAACGGACACTGGAAGCGATCAGACTAAAACAGCCCCACGAACTCAGGGTTCGGCTGGCGAAGTCTGCAACTGGATCCCGATACCCGAGCTTCACCCATCCATCCTGGGCTAGCCGTGACTCACAGTCGACCTTGATCAAGCCCGAGCCAGGCCGAGTATCGTACTCAAGGCAGGCTCCTTGCTTCGGATAGCGGGGATCCTCGACATGGAGTGCGCCATGTTGCAGACTTGTGTTGAAAAAAGTGGCAAGAGGTTGAGACGTTCTGAAGGCAGGGCACAGGCTCGGAATGCTCACCCCAATGCAAGCAAGCAGTGCAGTTTATAGTCATATGCCGAGGATCACTCGCCTTCACGCCCTCAGGAGGGAGGCGAAAGTACCTAAGATCCAGCAACGAAGGAGCATAGCCGAAGCTTTGCTTCAAGGTGGCAGGCTGTTGTCGGCTTAGGTACGAAAGGCAAAGGTTGTCGTCCACGACAACACGCCGTAGCGGTGCAGCCTGCGAGACGGCCCAGAGCATGCCACCACGCCCGCCGCAAGTGTAGGTCGGATGGCAGTTGCTCTGAAAGTTTTCGGCACTCCTCAGATCCCTCTGAGAGGCAGACAGCAACTACGAGTAGACACCGCAGAGGGGATTCTCTCAAATTTTCACTAGGTTCGGCTTGGCTCAGTTTGGGTGGGCTTAAGTCAAGTGGGCATTGAGCGCACCTAGACTGGCTAGTTGGTGGATTGGGACTTGGACGTTGTTTCCAACTGTTTTGAGACATGTCTTCGCTTGCACCATGTTCCGAGGGCCGCAGTATCAGCCAAGCCGTACTCAAGCCGAGCCCAGAAAGCCAAGCCAGCTGAGCCATCCCCAGCCTAGCCGCCTAGCCTTGGCACAGAAAAGAAGAAACTTTTGGGCCCAGTAGACGCCAGCCAGGTGCCGGTGGGCCAGCTGTGAAGCCGAGGCTCCGCCAGAAGTTCTGCAAGGACCTGAAGCAGATAGGCAATTGAAGACTTCCGAGCTCGGCAAAGTGGATCGAAAAGGATTGGGCTCGGGCTCGGTTCAAACCGCTGAGGCAGGGGCCCGAGCTCTGGATGAGGCGTCTCGTTGGTGGACGTGACAGAGCGGATCTTCGTATCCGAGGGTTTTCTCCCCAAGCCGTAGACGGAGGTGTAAAACCCAACTCGGACATCCACGTCGTGCATTTTGGGCGATGCCTCAAAGAGCAAGGCGTACCTGCTGCTGGAGAACTGGCTGTCCAGCGGAGCCATTTCCTTGTAGATCTGATCCACCACATCATAGCATGAAGCTGTGCTGAGAACCTTTACAGAACTTGGCCAGCTGGGAGGGTTTACCTCGGGACTGCCTTGCAGCTCCCCCTGGCCACGGGCATACCCCAATCTTGGGGATCTTGTCCCAGAAGTTGTCTGCGGAGCCCCTGCTTCCTGCGCAGGCTCCTGAGTCAAGATGAAAAGCTGCGGAAACTCCTCCATCACTTTCCTCTGCGCGTCGACCTCGCTCATGCCCTGGTTCTGTGCCAGCCATCGGGCTCGATCCTTCGGGATGTAGCAACGCTCCAACTGTCGACGCCTTGTTGTAAAACATCTACGGACCTGGCACAGGCCTCGGCGCGCACACCGGCACAACTCTCGTCAGGGTTCCACCGTCGGCCAGCTCCAAAGCTGGCAGGAAACTCCTCAAGCGCTTGGATGCGGGATAAATGCTTAAAACGTGCCATCCCACGTCAAACAACAGCCACAAATTGTATCCCAAGTCCGGCCCGAGGCGCACTCATGACGCGTGCCTGTGCAGCCTCGAAGCGATGTGCGCAGAAGCAAAGGCAGAAAAGCCAGAACGGACAACCCAAAATCCTAAAACTTGTTCGTGCCAAAGAGACTTCTGCATTCAGCCCACGGTTCTCCACGAGCCACTGCATACGGGCAGAGGCCTTTGGCTGCAACAGAGTCATCATGACTTCTCAGTTTTTTCCCACAATCCAGGTCCTCAACACATCTCGCTAATCTCCGAAGTGTGAGTATGCCCATGTCTTCTGTGCCGCGAAGCTGCCAGCACGCCATCGCAAAGCACGTCCGGCTTCCAAACAGCCATTGCGTGTCTTGGGTTCGAGAGAGAGAGCTTCGTTCAGAACAAGCCCGAATGCTAAGCCTGGTACACCACTGTTTACTTCTGAGCTCAAACGAGCCTGCCACATCACGTCACACAACATTGAATCACTAACAATGCATGTCCTCCGCTGGAGCAGAAATGCTACGGCATGCTCGCTCTTCGCAAACCCGAAGCCCATAGCGCATTGTGGTGCTTCTGATGCCAGCAAATCCAGCAAATTGAAAACGACTGCAGAGTGCACGTAGGACGTAGGTGTCCAGCCGCTGACGTCAGGTGGCTTGTCTTGGATCCTGACAGCGCATGGACTCAGCCCAGCGACGCGAAGCATCGCTGTCGTTGTTTATGAAGTACTCTATCAAGCACCCTCTCGGCTCTGAAATCCCAGGCCTCCTTCCGCCCATGAGAGCAGAGCAGTGGCCAAACCTGGCAGAAACCAGTCCACACTTTCGCAGCTAGTCGACGGAGGCAGCAACGCACCAATCGCGGAAAAGTCTAGCTCCGTGTGTTGCCTTCCATGGTGGGAAGCTTGGACACCTGCCAAAGGCACCCGTTTTCAGGTCCAACGTGGCTTTTGGCCACGGTAACGAAGTCATGAAGGTGGTCCCTACACGGGTGGCAACCGGCCCACCTCGGGCATGTTGAGGATCGCACCTCGACGTGAGAGTGTCCCGGTGCAAAAAAATGCCAAGTTTCCCACCGCACTGCTCGACAGGGCTACGGCACCTTCACCACCCAGCTCGTGAAGCTGATTCTGCTTTCGAGCTGCCTCCGCTCACAAACTCGGATGTCTAAACAGAAGGAACTTGAGGCGGCTCATGCAAGGCTAACCGACTTCCCTGCCACTCTGTTGTAAATCAGCTCCGCGCAACAGGATAAGAGAACACCAACTCGACAAAAAGCAAACAAAGGGTCAACTGCCGCAGCTTGTGTCACTTCATGCTGACAGCACCTCTTGCAGAAGATTTCGAAGCTGGCTGTCAGCTGCCTTTCGAGGCATTAGGCGCACACACACACACACACAGAGACACACAGCAGGCACTTTGCAGATGACCGCCCATGTCATCCCGATCATCCGGCCTCCTGCTCTCTCCTGAGCATCTGCAGAAGTGCCTGGCTGGCCAAATAAACAAGATGGCTCGTGGGTGGACGTTCTGTCACGGGCCTGGTACTGCTGCGAAGCAGTCTGTGTGTTGGAGTCTGCCTGCTCAGCAGTTTCGAAGGAAGGCGCAGCTGTGCAAAGAGTGGCTGTATGCACCGCGTCATCTCCATGCATGGAGCTTCTGAATGCCCACTCATGTAAATAGCCCCAAGAAAGGACATGCGCAATGACACGGTGTTCAGGACTTCTAAAATGCGTGCAAGCACAGCTAGACATTATGTCCCAGTCATCAGCAACAAAGTCGGCGCACAAAACTCCAACACCACATCCAGAAACATGCTCTCGATTCCAGTCTTGAGGCTCTAGCTGTACACAGGTGCAAATGCCCAATTTCATCTACACATCCGTACTCCTTGCGCTGGTCACTGGATGACATGCAATCTGGTCTGTCCTCGTTCCTGTCGTCATCTTCCTTGGATGTTAGGGATGCAGGATGATGCAGGCATTTGATCCCATTATGGAAAAACTGCTGGACAGGACGGAAAAACATCATCGAAGGAACCAGCGGAGATGCGGTCTTCTTCCTGCGCTCGCCCTGCAACACAAGCTGACACCCAGCCACGTATCAGAAATGGCAAGCCTTTCGCTCTGCCTTTGCATGTTTATCAAATCTCGCAATACACAAAGATGACGAAACGTGTATACTAATATCGTTTGTGGATATTCGCTCGGGCATAAGACACCGAAATACAAACATTCCACTGAGGACCGGAATCGCTCGAATTCGAGGCATAGAGTCATTGAAGCTGTCGTGTCTTGTGGTGTGCGCCCCGGTTCACCCTCCTTTCCGACCCAAGCGCACATTTTGTGATGTTTGTCCGGAACCAGCCTCTAGAAGGCAATCAAAAACCAGCGCATTCCCTGGCCCCTTGCGAGCAGAGACTGAATCATGAGTAGAATCATGAGTATAAATCACACAATTTACATGTTGCTGAATGAGCACGGCAGATCCGAGCTCCAGCACTCTGGCCTGCTTGGGGGCGACTCTGGACTGCCGTTCACTGGGCTCACCTCTCAGTAAGGCGTAAGGCTCTTCTTCTGCGAGCGTGTGCAAAGTGAAACAATCGCAAGCAGTCTTGACAAAGAAACTCATGCCGTGCTTGTCCCGTGCTAGCTGAGTCATCCGTGCCATGCATGAGTCTTGGCACGACAAGACTCCCGAGCCTTCGCTCCACGACTCCTCATCCTGCGTACGAAGTGCGCGCGAAGCACGTCTTCTGCCAAGCTCGCAGCTGAATACCGGCATACCAGTATGTACTGGGAGCGTTTGATTGAGATGGTTGGTTTGTCCGGCGGTTGCAACAACAGCGAGCGAAATACTGCCACAGAACAGGCTTCAGAGTAGCGCAATATGGCATCCTCTCAGTAAGCTGGTCCTCTCCATCACGGCGTCTGCCTGCTCGCCCTTGGGCACTCCGACACAATTTTCGGAACGCTTCAAGCTCGCTACTGCAGCTGAAGAGCCCGACAGAACCATGGCATGCAAAGCTTAACCTAATTAAGTGCAGGTGCTTTACATGATGTAGCAGGGTCACTCGGAGTCTATGGCAACGATGATCAGCCGCGTTGGCATGTCTTCCTGTTTTGAAACAACCACCTGTAGGTTGATTACAGCGCAGGCCTTTTGGCCGTGCAAGATCGTGAATGTTGTTACAGTTCCAAGAAGAGAGACAACCTTGTACTGTGATCTTCTTAACACCATTTTTCGGCGAGGGCATGTCACCACAGCATGGTGATTTGCTGCAATGCCGAACGTCTTGAGTAAAGCTTTAATTCGCACGAGAACTGCACTCATGACCAAATGTAGAACGGCCTTCTGGCCCAGATGACAGCTTTGAGCCATATCACGTCCGGAGCAAGGCCTATATGCCACAACACTGCTCGATGGCGGGCTTTGCCTCTCTGGCTTGTCGTTTGGCGCATACTGTTTCGGGCATGGCTTGGCTGCTATGCCAAACTGACAGATCTGATTGCAACATACATGTCGGTAATATTCAAATGCATGCGTTACTAGTGTTGCACCACATAGATCGAACTCTCCACCGCCGAAACATGGTGTCGACAGCAGCAGCAACAGCGAAAGGCGGCAGCAGCTTGGTCAATGCAACGCACGGTACTGACCCAACGAGCGATGGAAATCGATGACAAAATCTTCCAGAGTCAAGACAACGGTCCCAGATCATGCCCTAACCAGCTATGCTAGTTACATGTAATGAAATCGCTTTGAATGGATCGTCCCTAAATGCAGTCTCGCTTGGCTTGGCACTGCATCCTTCGGCTTAACTACCATGTGGCAGTTGTTTGCATCGTCTCTGCCTGTTCTAAGCCGTTCTTCGGCGACACGCCTTCTCCTGGCATGGTTTTCCAGATATGTTCTAGGTTCAGTGCATCCTGCTTGCCCTGAGCTGCCCATCTCCATTAAGCAAGGAGTGGCAGGTGCCTGCAAGCACAAGTCTTGGGGACCTCTTGCTTTCAATGGTATTAACTACTTCTTTCCGCAAATGACATTGAACGCATCAACTTCAGCAGCAAACCTGTAGTTTTGGTCAACCACGCACGCAGTTAAAGGGCGCGTCATCAACCTTTCCAACACGGTGATCACACCCAGGTCAGACCAATCAAGCGAGACAGATTGCACACATCGTTCTAGGAATATGCTTGAATTACAGCACCGCGCGAATTGATCCGTCACTGGGTCAACGAGCCAACGGCTTCTGCTTGAGCGAGGATTTACGGGGACCCTCTCGGTGTTCAAGAAGGCTCTTGCTCTCACAGCTTTCAACTTCTGTTTGCCACTGGCGCACACAAAAGTTGAAGCCGGCCGAGCAGAATGCATTCCTCACTTCACGGAAGGCCTTGCTTACAAGAAGTTGTACAGCTGCACCTGAGCGAAGAAGATGTTAGTGGTTTGTGCTGAGCATGTTGGGCACTTTCAGCTGCGTTCGCCGGCTACAAGGTCGACACTGAAGAAGGCCAAGCAAGTCGCTGAGAACAGCAAAAAAGTCAACTGACCGCCATCCTTTCACCCCCTCTCCATGTTCCGGGACTCAAATCTTGGCGAAATCGTGAACTAGCATCTAAATGCCCATTCCGCCTTCAATTTGACAAAACAACCAACATGTTACAACAGCCTCCAAGGCAACTTGAACTTCAGCACTTCATACCGAAGGCCAATTCCAATGGCCAGCACAAGGTGGGGCAGGCCGCAAGTTCATCTCCCCAAATACGTCAACACAGTTCAAAACTCAAAATGGCAAATTTTGAGCGCGCTGTGCCCTGCAGGCAACCCTTGCGAGGTCTTTTCCCAAAGCACAAACAAATCCGACAGACGGAGTATTGACGAGTTCAAGAAGCTGCACTCCGAATTCCTAACTGCTAACCCTGAAGTACCCTGAAGCCACAATTGGACAGCAATCCTTGCTTGAGCCGTCCACCCTTCTTCGACTCTTCGAGCATCCTGCCACAACGTGTGAACCGTGCCACAGAAGGAAACGCAAGCACTTGGCATGGGTGCTACTTGTAGCGAGACGGGTATTGAAAATGGCACGATCTTGCTGCAGAGCGAAGGTCTCTGCATACCCAAGTAGACCTGCCGAGCCTTCGTCACAAAGGGTGCTCTGCTCCAGAAAGAACTGCCACGGAGGTAATGCCTTAAAATGCGTGTTGCAGTGGCCAGGAGTCAGGACCGAGGAGCTTCAACACTGCGTGGCACTCTCGGGATCGACAGACGAGCAGTCAAGGTTGGCCGGACTTCCGGAGACCGACCCCACGTCAGGGCCAGTGGTAGGTGACGACACTTCTCGTCGAGTCGTCGCTTTGTATTTATAGGTTGTCTTCTTTTGTTTGTAGCCGGGTACCAGGGGCCGGGGAGCGAGCATCAGACCGCTGCGATGCCTTCACGATTTCCCGAACACCAGACACCGGTCGCGGATAGTGTAAGTCACGGCGGGGGCAAAGACTGTCATGCGCGCTGTCTGCATGCGTCTGCTGTACGGTCTTGTAAGGTTCGTACGAGGCCCACCACCTCTTCCAGCATTGCAGCCTGTGCCATACGGCTTCCACTCACTGCGGAAACCCGTAGCACACAATGCTCCTGAAGCAATGCATCTGGTCTTGCAGGCACAGAGCCTGCCTGGATGACTGGGGAGGTCTTCGCGGGCCTTGGTGGACTGAAGGGGTACACACTTCGGTCCGGTAATCCGGAATGCGCCGGCCTCTCACCCAGATAACTTTCATGATGTCCGTTAAAGCCTGAAGAGCAACCAACCACATTTCTGCACGTGACATGTATCAAGAGCCTACACCAACATGCATGAAACCTGGCCATCTCTCATCCAGGGTTATCGCTTCGGGCTTAGGAACTGATGCCAACACAAGCAATGCGGCCATCGACAAGTCTGGATCTGCTGCGCCTGTCCCAGAGAACTGCTCGAGCACAAGCCTATGTTCTGGCCTGGTCATCACCGGCGGTAACCACCACGACACGGCAACAGCAATTCTGATCAGCAAGCGACTCACCACTACATATCCTGCTCAGGTTGAATCGAAGCGGTCAGCTCTCGCCCAGCAGCTCTCTCGCACCTCTCGCGCCTCTTCACCCGAAAAGATGGAAAGTTTTGCAGCATCTGGTAAGGACCGAACAGTGTGAAGCTCGAAGCTTGGGGTCCCTTAACAATGGGCACTTCGCTGCGGATTGATCTCATCTGATTGCTCCAATAGGCCGGGCTTGAAAAGACTGAAATGAGTCGTCGCCTGAGGACACGACAGCCAGTGATGCTGAAGGCCACCGGCAAGTTCCCTGCCGGTGGCATTGTCGGCAGCTATGCTTTCTCACTCTTGCACACAGAAAGCAGAACACTCATTGACTGAAAGATCCGTTCGCCGCGCAAGTCGAGGCATTGGGCTCGGAGGCAATGCACCTCGGCAACGAAGCCCGTTGCCTTGTAGGCTCCGTAAGCCATAGCTCCTGCATGACACGATCCAAAGGGTCAAGGGATGCAACAGTCAGGAGACATCTCAGGCCCCAGGTTCTTCACAGCTCAAGCAAGAGTCCTTTCACCAGAGCTCGCGTCAGCTTCTTCATGAGGCTCTCCGTCCCAAACATTTCTTTCACCTAGGCTATCTGTGGTATCCAAAGACTTTGCTGCGGGCAGCCCAGCCCAGGTCCGACATCTGCAGTTCCCTTGGTTCCGAACGGTCGGAGGCCCCATAAATGGTATCATCTCCTTGAACCTGGGCAAGCGGAAGAAGCACACCCAGCTAAGACGTTGCAGACCCACTGTGCTGAAGGGCAGTCCAAGAAGCCGCTTGAACTGCATAGAAAGGTTCAGGATGATGGAGGGCACCAGCACGCTCTTTCCAAGGTTGACCTTTCGCAAATCAGAGTGGCACTGTGCGTGGAGTCTCGTTTATAGTCTTGCTCCGGAACTACACGATGTGAGGGCGATGCAGCAGGTGCTCGATCCTAAAGAAGCTGTAAGGGTCCGGACACCATGGGAGAAGTCGTACTCTTTCATGACCGTGTCATAGTCCACAGCTGCACCGAGGGCAGGTCCCGATCACGACTAGGTTGTCGGATCTCGATCTAAAAGTGTTGCGACCAGGAGGATCTTTCAAGCAGAGCTTGCTGAATTTCGATCATCTGGCGGCTTGAGTTAAAGTGCATCTTTCTAACGCATCGGCCTAGAATTGGATGCAACACGCCCTTGCTTTCAATGTGTCGCGGCTTGATCAGATGCAACTGTCGCACGCCAACTTGAGACTAGGCATCTGTAGCAACATGCCGACACCCGACCCCGCAACGTGCCTGCAGCACCCTCGATTCTCGGCTTGTTGATGCCTCCCAGTCACAGGTGATCGTGGTCATGAGATGCAGACGGATGAGAAACCTAGCTGACCCGAGTTCAGACGAGCTCGACACATCACCGTAAATGGTTGGGGAGGTGTACATGCTGCTGGGCGGTCGACGAGCCGGCACCATAGGCTGTTTGCCTCGCCACTGCAACCGTGCGGAAGATTTCAGCCTCGTTGGTGCTTGAGCCCGCCTGGATTCAGCGTGGCTTTGGGCAAGCCTAGAATGGGCAGCTTGCCTGAAGCCATGTAACACCCAGTTGTGCGACAAACCAGGCAATTTGAGAACTCCATCACGCAGGCAGCAGCACCGAGGGCGACACGACCTCCTGCCACAGAAGGCAAAAAGCTCAGCGTCTACAAAAACTGGTGTGATTGAATCGTGCAGTAACAAATCATGATTACGTTTGCTGTTTCGCATTTCTTCAAGCTCTTTACGATAGCAAGATGATTCCTGTCCGACGTCATGCCACCGAAGTATACATGCGAGAGAGGAGATGTACGGCCGACTGCACGAGAGGGTCTCTTCAGATTCCCTGAAAATCGTCAGCCCACCTGCATTGTAGAGCTGGTCGAAGTAGGGCAAGTGCGAAAACACACCTCAACTGATCTGCGGTTCAGCGAGCGACGCGCCGTCCGAAACACACGCGGGAAGCCTACGTTTGCCAGTACGAATCGCAGATTGTGGCTTCTCACAGCAGAAGACGAAACGAGGCTACGAGGCTGAGGATGGAGCCCTTGAAACCGCGGTAAGGCAGACGGTACAGGCCATTTCGCAAACCCGGAAGGCCTGAGGCAGGAGCTAGCACTTTCTAGTAAGGGCATCGAAACCGCGAGCTGACGTTGTCCCTTAGGGCTCAGGCTTGTCGTTCTTTTCTACATGACCGCTACTTCAGACAAAGCTCCTCGCGTGCGTGGCCCTTTGCCCAGCCTGAGAGTGGTGGCCACAGCCTCGCCTTGAAGATACGGTACCTGTTGAGCAATGCAATGGCCTCGGCAATCATCGAGTACCGGATATTTCAAGGGAGTATGCTGACTTTCAGACTCTGGGAAACCGGCAGCAAGAATTGCCAGCGGTGCCGTCAGCGCCGCCGCTCCCTCTCCTCAATAAACATGACAGCCGAGACCAGTACGGCATCATTGTTTGTGCGAGCGGTGCGCCGCGCTTGAACTAACTCAATTGCACCAAGACGCCCAGCATCTTGGCAGCCGAGCCTGCTATCACAAAGACCATGACACATGCGGTACGGCATCCAAAACGCATATAGCATGTACTGCGAAGCAAAGACGACAAAAACAGAATAGCGCGAGGGAAATAAGCAGGCTCCAGGCGCCTAGGCTAAGCTTCGGTGGACCTCAGTAAACCGGTACACCGCCAAGAGATTCCATGCTCAAGAACAGCAATACATGCTTCATTCAGACTGCGCCTCTAGGGAAATACGTTCAGGCTATCTGAAGTGAGCTCCGGACTAATCCCTGGGATGTCCGGGATCTTCAGCTTCGGTATCTTAAGTCCTCCATGGCGCACGAGCAGGAAACTGGCTTCCCAGATTGCAGGACTCAGCCGTGTCTCCAGGTATGTCGGGGAAGTTGTCTGAACCTGAGACCGAGAGGATGAGTCAAATTGGAGGAGTGATCGGCCCGCTGGAATTATGGCCACCGATGATGTTTGGCTGGGCTGAGGTATGCCAAGGTGTTCCGAGTGCGCCGCCGGGCGGCGTGATGCTTCTCGCATCTGGACAGTGCGGAAGTTGCAATTAGAACCACAGCCAAAGATGCACAACAAGGAATCTTGTATCTCGAGTGCTCGGCTTGTGCATGTACTGAGGATGACGCAATTGGTCATCTTTCTGATGATCTCCATAAGCTCTTTGACGGCAGCTGGCAGGAGTGCGGAGCCAGTGTGGCATGTAGCGTGAGAGACATTTCGTTGATACCGCCTCCTGCCGAATAATGAACGGCCTTTCACTGGATCGGCTCGCCGATATGGCCGATATGGTTTCTACAGGGTCAGCCACACCGATCCGAGTGTTCAACTGGCTTAAACTCATAGGAGAGCAGCTCGCCTGTCGCTTTGCAATTGACACCTTTGTCGTCCGGGATAAAAGGAAGCATCGGAATTGCACAAGTTGTAGGACCCAGTTAGGAGCTCCGAAACCCGAAACCAACTTCCCTTTACACCCCGGCAGAGCTCAAAGGGCACAAGAAGCTGCTCCGACTCTCCAAGCCCAAACTCCTGAGAGGTCTGGATCGGCATGCAGGGGTCCCTTCGCCCCCGGCGAAAGACTGTTTGGGCGCACCCAGTAGCAGTGTAACAGTCACACCAGGAAATGTGTAGCACGAAGCCGAGACTGTGTGCTCCCTCACGTGCTCCCCTCGAGTGATGTAAACACGACACAGTTTGCTCAACAAGCCGTGCATAGCCTGAGCGACCCATCAGCACATGCCAGGCACGCCCATCAGCGCCTTTATGGTGCCGTACAGCATGACTGCCAAGGCGATCGACACCACAACCATCTGCAGGCTTCCGTGGCTTCCGCACGGCACGACTTGTTGTTTGCTCACGGGTCCGAGCCTTGAAGAGCATCTTCAAAGACACGTTGGGCAGGCCCAGAGCTGAATAGGACTTGTACTCCTCCGCTCACAGAGCTCTTTGAGAACCCTAGCTTCAAGCTAAGGAAGTCTCTGATGACACCAGTGCTCGTTGTAAGGTACATTGCACCAATGGAACCCTTTCTCGGGAAACCTCCACGCGTCGAGGCGCGAGTCTGGCTTCTGAGGCATGTCAGCAAATTTGCTGCGGTATGAACATGTTGAGCAAGGTGCTCACTTAAAGAGTTGGGGCGGGAAGTCGTTGGGCGAGTTATCGAAAGTTCCACCATCTTTTTCTAGGGCTTACCTCGGCGAGTGGACGTCCCGCAACGAAAGCTTTCGGGGCTTTCAGTCGGCCTGTCTAAGGCACAGACTTCTAAAACTGTTGGGCCGTGCAGGCTTCCAGATGAGGGCACTGTCCGGGACTGTTCAAGCCGGCATGGCCTGAGCTGAGAGCCACAAAGCCAGGCCCATACATCAGGAAAGCGACCGGATGCGATATTACCACTACCAGAGCCGTCGCAAAAAACTAAATTTCTGGGACTTCTGCCACGGGGCAAAGAGGATCGCAAACGGCGGGATCTATTCGATCAGCTTCATCTCCTTCAACACCTGCTGCAAACATTCAGGCTGCAAGAGTAATCTGCAACCCGTTCATGGTCCCGTCCGACAATTCCCTGCACACCTCCGCCGGAGAAGTCGCTGGCATCGAGGACGTGTCCAAGTTGTCGGAGTGTGGAGCCAGCAATTCACGAACCTATTAAACTCGTAGTCATGTCGCTCCGGGACACAGAAACAGCTCGATTCCCAACGGCTCCTAGCAAACACTTCTACTGGCTGCTGTTGAGTTCGCTGCTCGTGCAATGTGACGAGCTTGTACCGCTTCAGCAAGATCGTCCTTAGCTTGAGAAAGCAAACCTTGTCATACAACAATGTTGGCCCTCGACAAAAACCAACCCGGGTTTAAACCACACCTTCCCAAACCCTATGCCGTAACCCCCCAAACTACGACCGCCAGTGTACTGGGGACAAACATGTTGGTCGTGTCTCTGCATACCGCTGAACCGCCTGTACATGGGGAAGGCATTCTGGCTAGGCGGATGCATTTTGGCCATGGTCTTGAATTCCGCCGACACGGGCAGAGGCATTTTGGCTATGTCTTTAAATCCCGCCTATACATGGAGGACAGCATGTTTGTCCGGTGGTGTTCTGTTGTTTTTTTGGTGGTTTGCTGGTGCTCTCCTGCTGGTCTGCTGCTGGTCTCCTGGTGTTCCTGGTGGTCTGCCCCCGGTGGTCTCTGCGTGGTGGTCTCCTGCTGGTGGTGGTGCCGGTGCCAGTGCCAGGTCCAGGTGCCAGCTGGGTGCTGGGTGCTGGGCGCACGCGCTGGCGCTGGTGCTGGTGCTCGCGGTGGTCGTGGTGCTCGTGGTGGTCGTATGCTCCTGGTGGTCGTGATGGTCGTGTGGTCACGGTGGTCGTTCTGGCGGCGGTCCTCGCGGTCGGGGTCTTGGTCTCGTGGTGCGCTATCCCGCTTTGGGGATCTGGTATGATGGGATGCCCTGCCGCGCGACATCTGCTAAGCGAACGAAATGAGAAAGGCTTCCCTGTTTTGCTGGTGGTTTCGTGCCTCCTTAAGCGGGCGAGCCTTGCTGGCAGTGGTGGGTGGCGGTGGCACCGGTGGCAGTGGTGGCAGTGGCGGTGGTGGCAGTGGTGTTGTGTGGTGTGGTGGTCGGATGGTCCGGTGGCGGGGCCTGGCCTTGCCGCAAGAAATTGAGTACACTAAAACCAGATTTCCAGATTTGATCTGCTTTGGATCGCTTGAAGCATTCTAATGTCTTTCTCCTCCAGCGCTGTTTTGCAGCATCTGGACTGCTGGAACCATTGAACGCAGCCAACAACGTGCGCACACACGCGCAGACACACAGGCACACTGCAGCAGTGGGTCAATCGACGTCTGAGCGAGTGCTTCCTGACAGGCGGTAGCATGCCACTGTATCTACAAACTCAGTTTCATCTCAAACATCTCAACGTAGCATCTGGCATCGAATCTCCTTCTCCAGCTGCGCCCACAGCTCTCCGCAGGCCCAACTGGGAGAGGCAGCAATGGCCGCAGCCTTGGTTGTGGCATCAAATTGGATATGTCCGTTTCTAGATCAGTTGTGTTGTGGCATCACTGTCCCGATCCTGCGCAGCTGCGGCTTCGAGGAAACCACCACCTGGGAAGAGCAGCGATCATTTCAGCGAACTGTCACTGAAAGCATTTATGTAACTCAAAGCGTACCTGGCAATAAATCCAACAGCACACAGCAAAGTCATTTGTTCTGCTTCTGGCCTCCCTTACACTGACAAGCACGTCAAGGTACAACCGTAAATGGATGAAGTGTTCTTCTTCAAGCAGTGCTTTCTGCAAGCGTAAGAAAAGGCAAATGCATTCAATTTTAAGGATGCGAGAATTCTAATCATCGTCCGCTGCATGGGCCAAGCGAGAACCTCTGCTCAGTGCCTTCCAGCCCACCTCTATTTTTCCCTCATCACACGCCTTACGACAAGCTCGCTACACACAGACTTGACAGCGTTGTGAATCTGTGAGTCTGCTCTAGACTCTAGGCTCTTCACCAGGTCCAGACCCCATCAAATTCGACACAATCTCTGATCTCTGAGTTTCCTGAGGCCTCGACGTTTGAGCTCCGCCATGGCCAGGTTGATCAAAGCTCGCGGGTAATGGGGTTGCCAGCTCAGCAGCACAAGATGGCAGCACGGCGCCCAGTATCAAAGCAGAAGACAAAGAATCGATGGAACAAAGAGCATCTGAAATACAATCGGTCTTAGACATGGGCTACAGCGCCCAGCGATATGCACAAACAGCATCTTCTGGACGACCACGATTTGCCAGGACGGCACCAAGCATGTTCCACCTTGCAGAATGCTGACACTGCAATTGTCCATGCTGCCTGCTGCCCTGCGTGTGGCCTGGTGGCCCGTCGCCGAGGAGCACCAAAATAGCTGTCGTCCTTGCACAGGCTGTCTTCCAGAGGCACTTGGATCTCTGCAGCAAAGTGCCAGCAGCAGCTGCGATTGTGATGGTGGAGTGTTTGGCAGTTTGGCAAGTCCGAAAATACCCTGAGCAACGGCTGCGAAAAGCCAAACTGTGAGATGGACAGCCTTGCTGTCGGCACTTCCTGAAATTCTTCGCTTGTTTGCACAGAAGATATACCTGGCCTCTGGAGCCAGCAACGCAGAAGCAAAAGTCGATGCAACAGACTCCTGTTAACTGCGCGGGGCATGCATCCAGCCAACTCTAAGAACTCTCCCGGTGACAAAGATCCTCACTTCTGCTTCGGATGCAATCCACTGAGTTTCTGCTCAGCAATCCTGCAAACCAAGCTCTTGAACAGCCCCTCCTGGCCCTGCAGCAGCTGCAGCAAGCCCAAGGCCACGGCGACATCGGCACTGGCCGACCCGCCCTTTGCAGGCAGAGAGATAGAGAGGGAGACAAACTCTTTGCTCAAGCCGTCTTTTAAGCTGACACCATTTCAGCGCCTGCTCGCTTCTCAGGCGGATGAGCCTCTCCTGCAGCGCCTCCTCCGACGGACCTCACAACATCGACCCCCGCAAACGAACTAGCGCCAAGATGTACAGCGCCACAGATCTACTCACTTTAGTCAGGCAATCTTGAACCGACAAGTGACCTGGATGTGCTGCCGAAAGCCACTTCTCCAGGCACTCCGTGATTTCTGCCTCGCATGAGCACTGACACCAGTGAACGACTGCAAAGCTTGAGATGTGATGACATCTTCTGCACCATGCCACCTGCGGATCCTCTGCTGCTTCGTTTAACAGGCAGATAGACTTGAGGAGCAAGGCGTGCTGCCTGAAGCACACACATGTCAGACGGAAGCTCTGGAATGACGTCCACAGAATTTACGGTGCTTTTTGACGAACGCGAACAAGAAGATGTAACATCAATGAGTTTGAACCATGGTTTGCCTGACCCGTGCCAATGCTCTCTCGGCTTCATCATCTTGAGCAGGACGCTCAAAGACCTTTGGGTCTCCACGTGCCAAGAAACATCGACAGCCCCTTTCTGGAAAACCTGTGCAGCTAGGCCTATAATGCCTTCGTGAAGCAGCCCATTCAATCCGTTCGTGACTTTGCCAGTCCCCGCAAGTCCCTTGAAGGTCCGGGTCAAGAAGCAGTGCTGAAGCAGCGCAAAGCCAGCCGGTCGATGTTGATGTCCATCAACAAGGCGCCATATTCCAGCGCATAAGTCAAATGAGATTGCCTCAGAATGGCTCCACTCATGTACCGCAACACAGAGTGCCACCCTGACTAGTTAGCCTTAAATACAATGTGACGGCTCCTGACCATCAAAGTGGTTAAGGCCGCTGCCAGTCCTCGTTCGACGCCGTCTGCCCCATGGCAACCTCTGAAAATGCAACGACCCTGGAACAGCGCGGCAGCACTCACAAAAAGTATCGGAAGGGCTCAAAAAAGCGCTGCCATCCATTGCCTCCCATGCTTGAGCCGCATCTTCCAACTTGCCGGATGCCTGGAACTCCTTGGCCAACTCCTGTCGAACTTGGTCCAGGGCATGGCATGGCTTCTCTCTCTCTTGGAACTATGGACCAGCATTTTCGTGCATGAGATATGTTTGCATGAAATGACTCTATACCGCACGTCGCACATTCTGGGATTTTCAAATGGATTTTGTGCGATTTGCCGACATGCGTAAGAGGTTTCCGCGGTATGATTGTTTGGCCTCTGAGGCTGCATTCGCATCCTTTGCCTCTGCAAAGCCTTGGCATGGCTTGGCCTTGCCTGGCTCCAGGATAATGCCCGGAAACCAAATCACAAAACACAGAAACGGGCAGCAAGACCCGTCCCTCCCATGCCTCCTTCAAAAAACCCTGGTTTAAACTAGCACCACAACATGTATTCACAGCAAATGTTGATGCCGGTGATGACACACATGATATACAGCTTTCCGGTGCACGCATGCACCAACAAATCAACAATGGCATGCTGTCTAAAACGTTTGTTGCTTCCGCTTTGCCAACACTGAACGGCTGGTGTGGCACTGGCTCCTGGGGGTTGTCGGCGGCCTCGTACGGATTTTCCTGCCATTCTCTGCGAGCTAAGCGGGAAAATGACGGATGCAAGCACGGCACCGGTCCTTTCCATCATGGAAATATATGTCGTCCACGTCTGCTTTGCTCAGCTTCTGCGTCTCAGTTTTGCGATTGTCTGAAGCGAAGCCGGGGCTCTTCTCGAAAAGGCCTTGGTCACATCCGACACCCATTCACGCAGCTGGACAGTCCGCATACTTTGTCCCACCTTGGAAGGTTGCCACCTCCTTGGCCTTGTCGTTCCGGAAGCTCTGTCGCAACGCTTCCAGCTCCTTCCTCACCGAAGCATCCTCTGAGAAACAGTCGCATCTCTTTTTCACACACCCGGCGTCCCCTTCCCCTTCTGAGCCGAAAGTCCTTGGGCATCAGCTTGCAGGCCCGCACCAGCTCCCACTCGGCCTCCTTCTGCTCACCAAGCTCCTTGAATTCAACAGAGGCATGGCCAGCATGGCCAAGAAATGCTGCCTTCCATGTGCCAAGACACCATTAGCGCTTTGGCCTTGCGGTAGGTGGCCTACCGCAGGCAAGAGTCGTGTGCCGCGCTCAACGACGACGATTGATCCGCTTACCTCGACTTGCAAGTGCTGGCGCCTTGGGATTGTCTGGCTCTGCATCCAACACTTCCTGGCAACTCAGGCCGCTGGAGCGGAGCCCGTGCTGCAGATCTGTACTCGGGACTTTGCGCTGCCTCGCAAAGCTCCAGTGCCCGAAAGGGCTCTGTGGGATCCGACCGTAGACAAACCAACGCCAAGTTCCTCGCATCCAGTGCACACATGGCACGAACAACTGGGGATCAAATTCGGTCTCCGGTCGCAGACTGACTGCTGCGAAGCTTCAGCTGTGTTGGTCTCCTCAGGGCCACCAGGTCTTCGCCCAAGCCTTTGCAAGAAGGGGGGTAGCAAATTGCGAAAGGGGTTTCGCAACATCGACAAACAAATTCCAACTGACGGCCAAGATTCCCTCCGGGACCTCTTTGAATTGAGTCAGTCGCAACGCCTGCTTCCACCAAAATGCGGACGCTGCATTTCAAAGCTGTGCCACTCTGGCTGCCACTGTGGCATGGGTACATGCCGCGATACAAAATCAAAAGGCACTTCAACGGACCGGGAATGACCCTTCAATTCATCCCGATCGTTGCCGCAACTTCATGCTGTGGGCAGCCTCACTGTATGCTTTCCGAGCTCCTTCCATATCCTCGAAGGCATTGCTTTCTTTTTTGCGAAAGGGCACTGTACTGCAAGCGACACTACTGGAGATGCTCCCACGGTTGATGATATGAATTCTGCATTACCCATAATAAGGAACATACCATAACTCCGATAGTTTTAGGATCCTTAAGGTAAAGCAGGATTTGTGTCATCAACAGTACGACCCAGGTCCTTCTCTTTGAACTTGGCATTGCCCTCCTCTCGAAGCTTCTGCGCAGAGGCCAGGCGTTCCGCTGGATCTGCAGCGCCGCCGGTAGTCATGATCGGCGTCGGTCTCACAAATCCACAGGTGCCTCTAAGACATGTGGTAGACTTGCAAAGTCTATACAGAGCATATAACCCGACAATGAGCAATATCGCTTCCTGGCTATGGGGTCTCAATCTACAAATACTGGGGCAAGCAAACTGTATTTCAAGACAGCTGCAGCGAGGAATCAACTCATGCGTAGCCAGAACAACTCACGAGAGGAGCCGCCGTGTCTGAGCGTCCGTGTTCGCGCTCTTCTTGGAGTGGAAAATCGTTTTGTCACTATCGAACAGGAACGACCTGGGCAGAAAAACTTACCAACAGTTCTGTCGAACTCGAAAGTTCTGCGGACAACTCTGCTGCCCAGCAATCAAAAGCGTTGCATATCAAGACTTACGTTTGAGGAACTGCACACAGGATGGGACGAATGGTCTGCGAGAACACCATTGCGCAGCCTGCAGCGAGTGCTTCGAATTGATGCTGTCTATTTTTGACCTTTACACCAACGTGCAGCAGCAGCCTGTATCGTCTGAGAAACGTCAGCTCCACGGCCGGCTCCCAGGAACCTGCATTGTTGACACGACTCACCGAGCTTCGCTGCTCATCATCAGATCAAGTCGTCAAGCTCCGGCACACACTCTGCATGCAGGGAAAAGCTTGGATAATCGCAGAAAAAGCACAGCACACGGCAAACATGCGTTCATGGCACCTTCAGATCCACGAGCGAGGGTCACCTTGCTACTGGTACGATTTCAACATGGATGTTTGACATGGTTCGATGGACATGCACAAAGGATATTAAAACTTGTCAAATTAATCCGCTCAGGGTGTGTTTGTTTGCCGGCCTCGCGATGAGGGCGATTGTGCCAGTCTATACGACATCGGTCCTCGCATTGCATTCAAGGCCCACAGGAAACGGTCCATTTCTGCAAGTTCTAAGCTGCCGGCCATCGACGCATCAAAAGCTTCAAGCTCACTGGATTGCGTTGTGCATATCCACACATTCGGAATCAACGTGGTGATGCAATGCACTTGGTGCTTTAGCACAACAGACGTTTTCTGGGTCCTCGTGGTGCCTGCTTTGCTCACTTCTCGGCTCACAGGAGTAACGGAACACCACAACTGATCTAAGACTTGTGCGAAAGCAGTATGCAGAATGGATTATATAAGGACCTGTGGACCATCGCATGCGCTGGTCCCTTCTTGAGTTCATAGTTCATTGCTCGGCGCCGTAAAGCAAATCGCCTGAGCTGTGTAAGGTGTAAGCCAGACTGAGCAACGTTGAGCAACAGTGAAATTACGAGGATGCAGCATCAGAGTTGGATAGGCGACGTATTGCCAACTCAGTGGTCGCCAGGTTTGAAGGTTTGGACCGCAGTTCCCGGTTGCAGATGCGAGTAGGTCGGCCTCTGATGACAAGTTTCTTAACCTCTAAGAAGATGAGTTTGAGGATACCAGCTCGACCCCTCGTCCTTCTGCCCACTGTATGTTCGGAGACATGTGCTTCATGCACGCCCACTTCGCAGGATCCCGAGTGTCAATTGTGCATCCGCCCATCCGTCCATCCATCCAGCCATCCAGCCAGATACTCATGCATGTTTGCATGCACACACGCATACAAACATACATACACATAAAAGAAAGTTCTACGGGAAACGAATTGTACATTATGATTCGAGTACATTCGTTTAAGTATCCTGTACAGGATATGCCATGATGCTCATGGTGTGTGTCTGTTTTTGTGACACAAACCGCGCACGGACATGGCTCATTTTGACTCGAAAAAGGCCGGCCTCCCCAGTTTCTCGCAAAAAAAAAAAAAGAAAACTTTTCTTCAGCTAAACTAGGAAAAAACCTAATGCCGAGATCTCTGTCCAAAGCCCTAGGTCTGCTTCATTTAAATTAAGAAAAACGACATTCACCAGATTCTCGCAAAAAAACAGTTTCCTTGAGTTAAACTAAAAAAAAAACACGCTCCCAGTTCCTTGCCAAAACCTACTCTGCTTCAGCTGGACTACAGAACTCAGGGATTTCTCTCCAAAAACCGAGGAGAAAAAGCTGGGTTCTTAGTGTCGCAAAAAATCCGAATCTGCTTCAGTTAGACTCGGAGAAAACGCATCCCCGGGATTTATGTCCAAAAACCCAGTCTGGTTCATCTAAACCAGCAGAGAAACAAAATCCCCAGCTTCTCTCCAAAAACCTAGTTTGCTTCAGGAAGACTAAGCAAAAAAAACAATTCTTGGATCTCTGTCCAAGAACTTGCCTGCTTCTTTAGGAAAAAGCCGAATTCCTCAGTTTCTCGCCAAAACCAAGTCTGATTCAGCTAGACTAAAGAACAAGTCGAATTGCTGTAATTCTCTCCTAACAACCTAGCTTGCTTCACTTATTAGAGTTCGCGTGACGCCATGGTGTTTATGCTGTGGTCAGTTGACCTCAAAAGATAGCTGGCATGCACAAGCAGATTTCGAGTGATGCCATATTGTTTGTGCTGTTCGTGTGCAAGGTTTTGGAGCACTACTGCTGCTTTAGGAATCATTATTCGGAACTCGTCAAGCTTGGATGTGGGCAGTCTGTTGTAGAACTACAAAGGCGAAGACACTCTTCGGTGCTCTATCATGATCCGAGTCCGAGTGCTTTCGCAGAACTTATTGATGGTCCGGGTGAGGTTCGTCTGCCTGTTGAAGATCAAAGCTTTTTCGATCAAATTCTGACGGCTGCCGCACATCGCGCAATGATCCCACTGACAATCTGCGGATGGACGTGAAAGCGCGCGAACGCAATGTCCTCGAAAGCGAAAGCTGGAGTGCGCATGCAGGCCGAATGATGCAAAGCAGAACCGCACCGGACGACCCATCGTAAGCAACAAGTCAGACAGCTGCCCGATTTTTCTGAGCGCACGAAGCCCTCAGCCTGAGACTGTATCCAGCATACCACGAACTTATCACCTACCTAGACTATCTGAGGTGCCATGAGAACGACGCTTGCACGCTTCAAGATTCCATGAGCAACCCAATGGCTGGAACAGTGATGGAACCCATGGTTGGGAACACATCTGCTTCAGCCAATCTCAGTATGGCCCAGGCCTTGCAAGACTTCGCACACAAAAGCAAGGGCAGGTCTGCAGCCTCAGACACGACACTCTGACCTCTCCGTTTGTGGGTGCTGGAAGGCACCGTAATCTGCCTGCACAAGTGCCAGTTTGGACGAAATGACGACTATCCTTGCCTCCTGACCCCTACAGGTCCCGGGCTGCCTGACCCATTGGCTGCTGACAGCCTGAGGCTGGAGGCTTGGACTGCCGAAGTCGAAGTGTGGAATCTCAGATCCTATCAGCTTAGGTGACTCGGTGGTTCTCAGCTGGTTGACCGACCCCTGCCATCCCCGTTACCCGCTGTCTTGCCGCCTTGCCCACCTCCCGCCCTCCCGTTCCCGACCCCTCTCCTACCGCCCTTCCCCCGACTCCAAAAGAACACCTCATTTCCTGACTTTTCTTCCTTGGTGTGGCGTCCTTGCAAGCACGGACCCACGAGTCTTGCAAACAGGTGAGCCCACGCATGCTAGCGGGATTTGCCTAATGAACCTCCTTAAAACCGGTTGAAAGCGGTCATGCGTGTCAGACTTTCAAGGAAAGTTGGCGGTCTGAACCTTGTTCGGTGTCCACACGTTGAAATAACCGGTAGAGATTCTGCACACTTCAAGGGTTTGCAATTGCTCCGCGGTGGGAGGAAACAGATTAGGATTTATCTGGTGCTGTTGAAATGGACCGTGCCTGAAATGTGTTTGGTGTTGATTGGATGGGACGGTCGGAGCACCGTCCGGCAAGAGCCGAAGACGACAGCTTGGAAAAAGGATGTAAAAATTTCAAGCTAGACGAAGCCTCCCATCGTAGGCGGGGACATATCAAGCCTTGTAATCCAAATGGACAATTTATTGTCCGCCCCGCCCCCCCCCCCCCCCCCCCTCCGCGCTCCCCAGAAGCCAACCCTGACATTGGCCGCCATGGCCCTCAGCACTATGCAGTACTCCTACGCTTCACACCGAAAACGAAAAGACGCACATACAGAACGATCAAAGCCCAAGACTGCCTACTGTACATTGGAGTGAGAGATATCCAGGTGATATCCTAATTACATCCGGGATTCAAAACCTGGCAAAGCAATGGTTGAGGCCGCCACCACCACCAAAGTTCGCGAAGCCCAAACCTTCAGAAATGTACACAAGCGACAGAAATGAACATCAACGACTCTTGGCTTCCGCCTTGTTGCGTCTGCAGCTGATTCGCCTGGAACTGCCCCTTGGTTTCAGCTCAATGCCAAAGTCGGCAAATCTTTGCTTACTCGGTTGGCGCGCCTGCACCAACAACGGTTTCTGCCTGTGCCCTCCTCCATAAAGCTTTGCGATATTCCGGAAGCGACGCATGTGCTGGCTTTGCCAGACGATGCCCCGTCGCTGATAGATGTTATCATGTACGAACCCACGCCGGCCAGATGTCTCTTTCAGAGACACAGCAGACCGAGGAATGGTTCCCGAACGCTTCGGGACATGAGAATGCAACCAACTGCTGTCGAGTTTGACCCGAGCCACACTAACCAGGGTGTCTGAAAGTTGGGGCAAGGTTGTTGGGCCCCAGCTTCTCACGCTCTTCCGCAAACCATGAAGGCTTTCCATAGGCGCCTCGGAATTTTGCCTGTGCAGCCGAAAGTTGCACCATTTGTTGCAATGATGCGTGCAATAAGTTCCACCCCCCTGCTCCAAAGTTGGCATGCCTTAAATGCATCGTCATAGTCCTGGCTTCCGGAGAAATCCAAGTCCCGACCAAACACCACGGAGTCAACGACAGACTGGAGAAGCGGAGCATTGAACTTCTGCCTGACAGGGACAGTGAGACCCTAATCCCTGCAGTGCCCTGCATCACGCACCAGGCCTACCGCGATCCATGAAGTCTTGGCGTCTAGGCCGGCTTGCAGTCAGGCACCCATCCTAGGTTGAGGTACTGAACAGTTTTTCTGGCGTGCTTTGCCTCTCCCACGTTCATCGGAGGCGATCACGAGACGAGGCACGCATGTGCGACGCATTCGCTCATCTGGAAGGCCAACAACCTCTGCTCCCCATCGCGTGTCTGCGATTGCTCGCCTGAGACACTTGGTGTTGTGAAAGCCTCGTTCAAGCATGAAGCGCGGCGGCTCACGTCACAGTGCTGGCTGAGACGCCGGAATCTGCCATGCTTATAAAGCCTGGGCTGGCACAGAGCTACACCTGCAAAATACGTCGGGCACCAATTGTACATGATTTGAGCAGGCAGCGGGAGTCTTTCGCTCTCCAGACTGGGTGGATGCGATGCCCGCGTGTTGCTCACGAGCCGTTGCCTCAAAATGTAGTTGTCCTTACTTCGATCAGATGCTCGCAGAGATGTGCTTTCACCTGCTGTCTGGTCGGTTTTCGTCGTTGCAGCAAGAGCTCATGCAAGTTGCCGCAACCCAAGGGGGCTGCCAGTGCCGCTCTTAGAGGTCCTGCAGAGGCCTGCAGCCAAGAACTGCTGGAGGCGTTGAGTCCTCGGCTCTGCGACACCGAGGGCTCCAGAGAAATGCGCATCACGGCATCACTTCGGTCTTTGATCTGCAAGCATCTTTGGGGCGAAGTTGTTTCGCTTAGCCCAATCATGTCGTGAGGGGCCAGTTCGAAGTCAGATTGTGAGATGTCAAAGTCCAGAGACTGAGAGACCTCACGGCTTGTCAAGCATTTCGATGCCCCGCGTTCATTGTCAGGGAAATCGTTGTCGAACTTGAGGGTGCGCTTTGACCAATCCGTCGTGGTGCTGGTGAAAACATCAGCCAGCCTCGGCTCGACACAGGTAGGCAAATGCTGAAAAGCATCCCGAAAAGCCTACAGATTAGGGCGAATGGATGCGAATGGCGCTACTTTTTCGAAGCTTCGCGAAGCGTCCAAGTCACTCCGAGGGAGGCTTCCAAGTGTCGATGAGCTCGTCCTGGCCCTGGCTACGCGCCTTCTTCTCCGCCTGTTTCAGTGAAGTAAGGAACCTCAGATGACCCTGGGGTCCGGCAGTGCGTTCTCATACAGGGCAGTGCCAGCCAGCTGGAGGACCGAGGCACTCTGTGAGATTGATGTTGTCGCTGTTCGCCGAGTCCAAAGCCCCAAACAAGTCTCTCTTCTCAGAGGCGGACAGCTTGCCGACGCCGAGCCTGCTTTTACATATGTTGGTCGGTTGAGTGCATCCAGCGGAAGACTTGCGAAGCCGGTTTGGTTCGTCGGCTCGCCTTTCCAAGCCACTGCACAGCTCCTTCCTGGAGGCGGACCCAGTCCTCCTGGCATCCAGGCACCTGCACGTGATCCGTTTGCAGACCACATGCAAATGCATCAGGACGCCTGCGATGCTTTAGACTTTAGAGGGGCGCAGAAGCACAATGGAACCTGTCTTGGTAAAGGCTTGGACAAGGCTTGGACATATTCGCAGCCATGTTGCTTGAGGACATCCACGGATCTGACCTTCCTAGCCAGTGCTTCTTGCTTGCGCTTTGCACAGCAATCGCACTGCACGCAGCTACTCTCTCGGGATCTGAATTGAAGGGCGGGTCCTCCGAAGAAGCAGGCTCCGGATTTTGGCCAGGACCAAGTCGCTGTCTGTCAAAGGCACCAGCTCGACTGGCTTCCGGCGGTGGCTGGCCATGCGCCCTCGAGCAATGAAGACATTCTGAAATCGAAAACTGACTGAGTCGCCATGGTCATGTACTTTATTCAAAAACGCATTCGCTGCCAGGCATCTTTCACGTTCAGTCAAGGCCCCGTGCCTGTCATTGCCTGCCGGCACTTTCGATGGTCTTTGTTCAAGCAAAGCTTGCAACAAATAAAATCTTTACATCTCTCTTCCGTGGTGCACCATGCCTGCCAGCCAATCAGGCACGGTCGGCGCATGGGCGGCTGCAGCATCCGTCTGTGCAGAGGCCCCGACATCGGTTCGCAAGCTGGGGACATGTGAAGCCGCACGCTTCTGCTGCCTTGCAGATGTACAGACAGCGATTGCATGCTGAATTCTCTGCGCCAGCAACCAATGTCTTTCGATTCTGAGGGTGCGCACACTTCCGTATCCGCAGTCGGCTTGCTTCTCTGGCGCTCTTTGGTTCCGGTGCGGGTCAGTCTCTTGTCAAGATCTGCCAGCAGTACGTGTCCATTAGCGTCCTGGGCCGGGAATGAACGGCAAGGAGTAATCCGCCGCATTTGTCTCATCTTCGGGTCCTTCCCCAGCTTCTCGTAAACTCCCAGAAACTCCTCATCGCTCAGCTCGAAGCCAAGCTTGGCCAGGCCGCAGCGGAGCTGAGCGGCACTGACTGCATTGCTCGCCTCACGGCACCGCCGATTTCAACGTCAACCGAAGCTTCATGGACCGAGCCAAGCAGAGCAGCTCGGTCTTCCAAGAACGACTGCAGCAAATCCGCTGCACCTGAGTGGAAGCAAGATCACATGGCATGGCCTTGGATTCCAAAACTGCTGCCAAACAGCTGATGTGCGTTCTGTTCAGAGTCTCCCGTATCCTCTGCAGCACCGACTGTCCAGTTGCCTTTCCAGGAGGCAAAAGAAGTTGCTACAAGCAGACACTGCATGCACCAATACTAGCCAAGTTTCTGAGGGCTCATCATCCAGGGACATGCGAGAGCCGGGCTCTTCAACGAAAAATTGGTGCAAGCTTGCCCGGCTCCATGGCAAGGGCCCGTGAGAGACTACCCCTTCTGTGCTAATGGCGGCGATGTGGTGCAGCAGCTGCCAGCTGCACGGGCGTCTCAAGCACCGCAGTTGCTACGCGGAAGGCTGAGCTCCAGGCCATGCCGTCATGAACAGGAAAGCCACCGGGCATGCCCTGTGGGACAAATCCTCCCTGCGCAAAGGCCGGTGCTCCAAAGCTTTGTTGGTTTGCACCGGCTTGGAAACCATTCTGGAATCCCTGCATCATGGAGAAGTCACCTGCAGCAACTGCAGCACACTTCACTGGTTGCGGCTGGAACAAAAAAAGCCTGAGCATCAAACTAAAGCCGCATCCATTGCAGGGAGCACCTCTTCACTGCCATCACCGTGTCACCACGCTGCTCCACCTCTAGCCGACTACACTGATTTATCCGCGCCTCCGAAGCCTCCGAAGCTGCCGAGGTCACCTGGAAAGCATGTCAAATACCACGATACAAGATCCAGATGAGCTTGGCAGGTGAGGTCCGCTGGGATGGTCAGCAATGAATCGTGACTTCTAAACAAAGTAACAGTAGCCGGGCCATGCTCAAACCCCGAATCAATCTACAGATGCTTCGGCTGCCAGAATCTTCGATTCGGCTCGCATCAGCTCGCATCTTGACTCAACATGGAAGCTCTTGGCTGCAGCTCAGGCACTCCCTCCACTACTGCTTTTATTAGTCCTAGGCCCTAGGCACATTGCTGCTTTTTGCTGCTACGGCTACTGCCATGATCATTTACCTTTACGATTTTTGTTTTTGGTATGGTGATTGTTGCCATTACTGGGTTTTCTGACGACCGCCACCCACAGAATGTGACCCCAGACGTTCGTCACGAAAAACGACTCACGCGGGTGTTACATCAGGGGGGGTTGCATCGGCAAAGGTTTCTGTGAGGATGAAGAAAATATGAGACAGCATGTTGCCAGAACAACCACTGTATGAAAACGACCTACGCCTCGCGAGAACCTCCACTCCAATTAAGCTACCGGCAACCACCACAGGCACCATTGAAGGCATTGCAGCCGCCACCTTGAGCAAATGGATCTTGGTGCTCCGGGCCGCTCCAACAACAAACCGGCAAGCGCACCGCAGCCACCGAAGCCACCCTTGCCTCCTTCCAGCGTTGGGAGCAGAACTCAGGAGGATGAGATGTGAAGAGAGTATCGTTGCGATATTGCATCCCCACTCCCCACCTCCTTTGGACCCCTGCCTCGGTCCGCCAGAGACCAGCAGCTAGGACACTAGAAAGCGGTTGAAACACTAGGCTCAGGGCTGAGGTCTGTCGAATGCTGGGGCAGCAATAAGCACAAGGCCAGGCCTTCAGCAGTGTAAATCAGAAAGGGCAGCAAGGAACTGAGGTTCCTGAGCCTACGGCTTCACCTCGTGCTGCTGGTGGGCTACAACCGACGAAGCCTTGAGTTGCACGGCCTCGCAACACACCTCACAAGAATTCTTGGACTTAGGCACAGGCAGTACTGGGATCCTTGTAGCTGACAAAGGCTATGCCCTTGTTGCCAGGCGGGACCTCGGCTGCAAGCCGAGTGACAGAGTGAAGCGCACACAAACCGTAGCCAGTCATACCGTCAGAGTCTGACATAGCAGTCTGACAGCTCGCCAAATCTGCAGAAGTGCGCCTGATCGCGTGGACGAAGTTCAATGTGCCGCCCCAAGCAAAGGTGGGTGACCAAACAAAGGCACGGACACGTATCACTGCAGGCAGCACAGCAGACACAATGCTTTCACTAGTCGTTGTCTGCTTCTGGTGAAACAGTGGCCAACCAGGTTGATTATCGTCATAATCTGCTCTGGTGCTTGTGCTCTTTCTCCTCCTCCTTCGCCTGCAACGCCAGAATGCTTCAGGCGGTTGCTGCTCAGTTCAGTACTGCTCATTGCACCTCTACGTTGGCAACCTTTTCAAGCTCATCCAAGCTCTCCAGCACGTGCTGCTTCCTGACCAGCCGGTTTGGAACAACGAGGCAATACCCATGGGATGCACATGAACTACTTCAAAGGCTTGGCCCGCCGCCTCGCTAACAATCCTCAGCCACCACAAGGCCAGCATGTCAAAGCTGTGCGTAGCTGTGCAGCTGCTTCGAGGACACGTGAAAATCATAACAATAATAATAATCATCATCATCATAATAATAATAGATATTTGTTGCAGCCTCGGGTCGACTTGGAAGATTCGGATGCTCCGGCTCCAGCCTCCACAGCCCCCGTTCTTCGGGAGTGGCGCCTGCTGCCTCCAGCTCCTACGCCGTTACAACAAAGAACTCGCACGAACTCGCAGAGTGCGAAAGCACTTTCCACCCTGAGCCGTCCTGAATCAGCTTCGGCAGAGCTCCCGGCTCACTCGCTGTCTCCAAGAAGCTGAACAATGGAGACAACAGGCTCACGGGCAGAATGAAGTTGATGTGCGGTAGCACGGCGCCGTCCTTGCATCGTTCACGTGAGAGCCAGTTTGAATAGTGGGGACCCATCACATGGAAGCATTGATGATGCAGTTTCTGTGCCACTCCTGCTGCTTGGCATTGGTAGTGACCATGCCAAGCAACCTAACCGACATCAGAACAAGGATAGTGGGCAGGCTTTTCTAGCGCATGCTCCATGCGAATGCTTCTCCATAGTGATGCAAGAAGCTCACCGGTCTCTGCGGCCACCAGTGCACCACCACTGCACCCACGATGGACTGCCGCCGAGCTCTGCAACACAGCCAGTCTGCCGCCTGTGCCCCAGACAACCTTGGAAAGCTGGCCTTGGCAGAGACAGGCGAGAGAGGCAGCAATGATCTCGCCACTCCACGCTGCAAAGTCGGTGCTCAACACAAGCATGCAAGACAGCACGAAGTCTTGGACAGATCTCAGATTCATGCCGCAGGTCACAGCCGGGCCATACCACGGAGAACCCGGGCCAAACAGCCCATGTCCCACAGCCCAGACCTGTCTGTTTGGGCAGAGCTAGGAACCACAAGCATTCTCAAAGGCGCCTTGATGCCCTGCTCGATGGACGTACACTGGCGTTTCCACAAACTCGGATTGAAGGCATAGTTGGGCTCGCCCCTGCCGCACCATGCTTTCTGCTCTGGTGCGACGTAGCAACACCCGATTGTCGATGTGCCCTCCCTTCCTACACCACAACACCGCCTGGCAGAGTTAAGTATCGACAGAACAGGTTGGTCGGTGAGCAAGGAATGAAACTTCGTTCCCTCGTCACCCTTTGTCTTTGTAAAAGCTCATGCAGGCTTTGGGCCGATGTCGTTCTTCCAGCTTCTCTATTTCATGTGCTTCCTTCTTGGCTCAGCTAAACAGTTCTTCACCATGTTATGCCGAGGCTATTCATCAATTCTTTGGCAAATTCTTTAGACAGAGGTCGAGGGAGGTATTGGTCCAAACATGTTAGCAGCAGCTCCTCCTCGGCTTCGCTATTAGCAATGCCGCATCCAGGAAACCATCGAACACGTGCAACACATCCGCTTCAAAGTTGGCCATCTCAGTCCTGCCCTCAGCACGACAGACACGAAAGCTGATACCTGATTCTTTTGTGGTGCTGTCGGATAACTGTCAACCAGCATCTGAGTGTCTGCCTGCGCACGCACGAAGCAGCGCCCATGACAGCGTGGAAAGTTTGTCGCCGAGCGCCGTGGCGGGCTACCATCCTCACGACACGTCCGCATCAACAACTCTCTGAAAACGGTGAAGCCAGTTTCGCACTCGAGCAAACCAGCTTTGAAGGTGACCGTGCGCTAACCTGGCAATCAAATACAGTGTGCTGTTGGACGGCCCTCTGCAAGGTGTACAGAGGGCCCAAACGACTTCGCAAGCAGCTTGCAGCACGGGGAATGCGGCTCTTGCTGGCGATCGCTGAGGCTATTGTCTCGCCCTTTGAGCTCCCAAGACACCCCCATTCCCAAGATCCACCTTTGTGAGCAGCACATTGACGGTTGGCTACCGAGTGTCTCAACATCTACCTTGCAGCTCAAGAGTGTTCTGCAGCGAGATCACAATGCAAGCACTGATGTGGACTTGTGGAGGAGGGGCTGCTGAAAGCCATACCAGCCACACCCACAGGGGCGCTGGTGGGCTGCGGCGTGGCTGGTGTGTGGCTGGTGTGGCTGGTGTCTGGCTGGTAGGGGGCGGCTGGCGTGTGGCTGGTGGGGGGCTTGGCTGATGGGGGCTTGGCTGGTGTGGCTGGTATTCGGTATGATACCGCATGTATCGGTATCGACCGAACCGCGCGATTACAACCATGATCATACGAGCCAAGCAAACCACTCAACAACAACATGTGCATCATTGATGCCCGGCCGGGCCGGCGTGGCGAGCATCATGAGCATCATTGGCGCCCCGCCGGGCCCGAGAGGCGAGCATCATGAGCATCATTGGCGGCTCGTTTCTCCATTCCAGGGCAAGCAGAAACACCCCGTTTTCATGCCCAAACAGGACAGGGTCGGACCCCTAAAGAAATGCAGGCCAGACTTCGGGGAGCCCTTTCTCCACACCCCTTGTTGCAACCTTCCGCTGGTAAGAAACGAGCCTAGCTTTCGTGATAATTACTGCCGCTAATTACGAGATGCTACGTGATCCACTTTCGTGAAGATGCCTTCGAAGGTTCCATCCAGGAGGTGCCCGTCAGCAAATGCGCACAGGTTAGAAGATGGCCGTCTTCGGACAACACCAGCGCAGAAGCCCAGCTGCCAGAGTCCAGCCACAGCAAGGCCACCCCCTCACGGGCCTGTAAAGTTGGGTGTAGAATTTATTTTGGCCCTT